TTTTGAAAAACATAATGAAAAACAATTGGCACTACTCTTTATTGATGCCGAAAAGGCTTTCGATAAAGTGAATTGGAAATGCCTAAAATTGTTACTAAATGAATTGGATATTGGATACAACTTCAAAAACACAATATACAATACACAGGAGGCAACTTTCTATCAACTTATCTATCCGAACGTATCTCAGCCTATCAGCCCACCAGGACCCTAAGATCTTCCGGAGAGTCCCTTCTCTCTATCCCTCCAGCTTCAGAAGTGCGGCTGGCGGGAACGAGAGATAGGGCCTTCTCTGTGGTGGCCCCTCGGCTTTGGAACGCCCTCCCTATAGAGGTACGATCAGCCTCGTCGCTGATGGTGTTTAGGAAGAGACTCAAAACATGGTTATTCAAACAAGCATTCGGCTAATCTGTGGCAATTAAATCGAATCTTGGTGACTATGGACAGGAAATATGGACAACGAACTCTGGATTGTGATTTTAACTTGAGATATATGGGATTATTATTGGTGGCCCAATAATTTGTTATTGTATTTGTATATGTTTTTAAACTGAGATTGTTTTTAAAATGCTGTAAACCGCAATTGAGTCGCCGTTCCAGGCTGAGAAATTAGCGGTATACAAGTGTACCAAATAAATAAATAAATAAATAAATAAACTTTAATAATAAATAATCAGGAATCACACCCCTTTAAGATCACGCAGGGGATGCGTCAGGGTTGCCCTCTCTCCCCTCTCCTCTTCATTTTAACAATAGAAACTTTAATAAGAGATATAAACAATGACAAGAATCTAAAAGGAATTAAGATTCAAAAACAACAATATAAAGTAAGAGTTTATGCAGACGACGTAGTCTGTATAATCGAAGATCCTCTAAAGACTATCAATGATTGGTTGATCAAAATTGAAACGTTTGGGAAATTGGCAGATTTTAAACTTAACAAACAAAAAACAAAGCTCCTAGTCAAAAATATGGACACACAAACAAAAGAACAGTTACAAGATAAAACAGGAATAAAGATCAAAAGCAAAGTTAAATACCTAGGAATAACGATTACACAAAGCAACACAAAACTACTAAAAAACAGTTATGAGTATCTCTGTAATAAAATTCATAAAGATTTGGAGAGATGGAAACGCATCATTTCTGGGCCGGATTGCAATATTGAAAATGAACGTTCTTCATAGAACCATAGAATCAAAGAGTTGGAAGAGACCTCATGGGCCATCCAGTCCAACCCCATTCTGCCAAGAAGCAGGAATATTGCATTCAAATCACCCCTGACAGATGGCCATCCAGCCTCTGCTTAAAAGCTTCCAAAGAAGGAGCCTCCACCACACTCCGGGCAGAGAGTTCCACTGCTGAACGCTCTCACAGTCAGGAAGTTCTTCCTCATGTTCAGATGGAATCTCCTCTCTTGTAGTTTGAAGCCATTGTTCCGCGTCCTAGTCCTCCAAGGAAGGAGTAAACAAACTTGCTCCCTCCTCCCTGTGACTTCCTCTCACATAAGCTCCTATTCCTTTTCCAATCATTACCAATAATCAGGAATGACCATTTATTCAAAAAATGGAACAAAGAAATCACAAAATTTATTTGGAAAAATGGTAAACCAAAGATAAATTTCAAAGTGCTAACTGATGATAGAAAAAGAGGGGGGCTGGGCCTCCCAAATTTCAAACTATATTACGAGGCCTGTAATTTGGTTGGAATTAAGGAATGGGCCACCCTAAAAAACAAGGCACTATTAACATTAGAAGGGCATGATCTGAAAACCGGTTGGCACGGCCAGGCCTGTAGCGAGGGGGGGGGGGGGTGTTGAGGGGTTCCCCCCCTCAAAATTTTTCAGGTTAAAAAAATAAACCTGGTTTACTCATGAATTTTAACTGGTTAACCAAATCCCCATGCTAAGTCTATGAGATGCAAAAAATTAAGAGTCCCTCCAGAACTGCAAGCACTATCTCAAGCAAATATTGACAATTTATTTACACTGTCATTACTTGCAGCAATAGCCGATGTAGTGAAGCAACCAAGTTGGGGATGTGTGTGTTGAATGCTCTCATTAAGGAGGCCAGACTTGGTGGAGGTGGTTGACAGGGGCGGAGCTGCAGGCTATTGAAGGCTGCTCTGCCCCTGCTGTGCTCTTTGCTTCAGTGTGAGCTAAGAGGCAGGTTTCAACTCCCCCCCAGCATTTTTTCAACCCCCCCCCCCCCGAAATTTTCAACCCTCCCCGAATTTTTTTTCTGGCTATGGCCCTGGGCACGGCTATCTCTGGCCTGATAAAAGGAAAGTTGAGAAAAATTTTAGCAACCATTTTATAAGGATGGCACTCATCAAAACCTGGGAAAAGTATAAATTAAGGCTTTACAATAAGACCCCTCTGTGGATATCCCCAATTGAAGCCAGACATAAGAGAAATTTAGGGGAGGAAAATTGGCTAACTTATAAACAAATCCTAAAAAAAAAAACGAAAATCTGAAAATGAACAAAATCTGGCTACCAGTATTAAAAAACTCTAAAATTACAACAGCAAAACAACAGAGAGGAAACAACCAGGCACATCTTAACACCTCCCAGCAAGAGATTTTCCCAGGCTCAGGCAAGCCTTCAAATGCTAATGAAGGTGATCAGCTGAAACATTCACACCTAACTGCAGCAGGGAAGAGCTCCTTGCCCCACCCCAGCCATTCCACAGATATATAAACCCCTTGTCCTAATTCCAACAGACCTCACAACCTCTGAGGATGCTTGCCATAGATGCAGGCGAAACGTCAGGAGAAATGCCTCTAAAACATGGCTCTATAGCCCGAAAAAACCCACAAGAACCTAGTGATTCCAGCCATGAAAGCCTTCGACAATACAAGAAATTATCCTAAAATCCTACGAAGAGTTAAAACTTCTAAATGAAAAAATAACCTGGCTACAGTACTTTCAAATTCAACAAGGGTTCAAAGGGTATAGTGAAGTATTGTTATCTATATTGCAGTTACTACATGGAAATCCATCCTGTTGCAGTGGCATGGGTACTGAAGATTGCAGTGCCTGGGTAACAATTAAAATCACTCACAAAGAAGTATTGGAAATCTCTCTGATGCTAGGATACTACGACACAGCAAAGTTACTAATAAAAAACATGGGCAACTTCTCAGTTTCAGTGGTCATGTTATTAGGCTCCTTCCTGCTCAGGGCCTCCAGATGTTTTCATTCCTTGACCTTGGCTATGAAACTCATGACGTGGAGGTGTTCTGGTATCTCAAACATACTAGATACGGTTACCTGGCAGGCACATATAAATAACTGGTATTTTATTTCGGACTTCCACATGTTGGAGCAGTTAACAGTAAATCTAGGATATTGAATTACCAGAAAATCTAAATTGTGCCACTTAAAAGTCTGTAATTATAAGTTGTTGTTGCACTGTCTTCAAGTATAGTCTGATTTATGAGTATTGTATCCTAAAGATTTGTCATTTCTGCCCTCTAAGGCTGATACAGCATGCCTTTTGCAAGGTCATGCTTTGGGTTTCCACGGATGTGTAAGGCTGGTTTCCAAAATGCCAAATTGGCTTCATCTACCCAGGCAGAAATGCAGTCTCCAGGTAAACTCTGATTCAGTGGTATTATTATTATTTTATTGACACAAACACAGTATGTCACAGCAAACAAGATCTATATGCTGGATTTCGTATCACAAAATCACAAGTCAAACACTTCCCAAGTGTCTAGGACTGTGTGATGTATTTTCGAATGATCCAAGTCAGGTGGCCTTTTTTGCAGCTGACAGATCGTGATTTTGTCAATGTTGATAATAATAATAATAATAATAATAATAATAATAATAATAATACACTTTATTTGTACCCCGCTACCATCTCCCCAAGGGACTCGGTGCGGCTTACATGAGGCCGAGCCCAAACACACAATACAAGCAATAATAACAACAGTACAAGCAATTAAAAAACACATAGACAATAAGATACCCAACATTATCAATAAAACAACAGATAATTAAAAACAGTGGGAAGGCCAAATGTAGAGTTAAAATTGGAAATAATGCTGGGACATGAACGGAAGGTGATACTGGTGTTTGTGGAAGGGCATACAAACAGACTTAGAGAAAGGTAAAGTGCTTTGGAGGACAAAGTGCTATGGGTCATTATTCTGGGAAGGCACACTGGCACAATTATTATTATTATTATTATTATTATTATTATTATTATTATTATTATTCCCTGCTTTTTCTCTTCACAAGAAGATAAAGATGATGATCTAAGGTCGTCTTTTATCAAAGAGCTGTTTCTCACCTGAAGAACAAAACCACTGAAATATGCACGGCAGGGGTTGGACTAGATGGCCCGTGGGATCTCTTCCAATTATTTTATGATTCTATGATTCGAACAGGAGTCAACAGGAATGGTTTCCTGATTAAAGGGATGCATGAGTTCAAAATCTCAGTTTTCCTATGGCTGACAGCTTTGAAAAATTACAAATAAAAGTTTTGTTGTCAAAATTCACAATTGTATAATCATGAAGATTATAATTGCTGAACAAGGGCTACTAATCTCACAACTAAATCAGACATTCTTCTTTCTAAAGTAGGACAGGAGTGGGCATATGGCTCAATCCTTTAAAATCCTGGGATTTGTAGATAGGTGAAATAATAACAATAATAATACTAACAATACTTTATTTATACTCTGCCACCATCTCTCATAGGGGCTCAAGGCAGCTTACAAAATAGCACACATAAAAAGTAATATGCCCACATATAAAATTAACAACACATTACATAAAACCAACATATAAAAATTAACAAAAGCAACCACTATTAAATAGAATCAGTAAAATATGACATAGCCATTAATTAAAAGATCCATACAATCAATCAATACAATGAAAGACCAACATTCTTTGTTATCTCATTTTAGTGGTACAAAATATATCAATGAAAAGAACCTTTCACACTTCTGGTTTCAGATATTTATTTGTATGACAATCACTTACCTGTGCATTTGGCACCAACCACATTAGGGGACCAGTATGGATCGTCAATCCATAATTTTTCCTTGCATTCTCTGAGGGAGGTCTCTGTTCCAGCACAGTTACCACCAAAAAGCCCAACGGCATCAGTTTTCCCTTCATAGGGAAAATGTAAGGCAGACCGAGCGGTTCCACAGCCAAGATACCTGCACACTACCCTGGCATCTTCATAATTCCAATCAACGTCATCTATCATTCTCCATTGGCCCTTGTGGAAAAGCTGAACTCTCCCAGCACAGCGACGATGACCATAAAGTAATCTAATCTCTGTGGAGAGTAAAGAACAACCAATCTTATTTGCATTTCTTGTTCAAGTAGGGATGGAAATGTTATTTACAAATATTCCCCAAAATGGTTGCAAAACCTGTTTTTTTTAGTGTCAGGAAACCCAGATGATGAATAACCTATACGGACATGTTTGTAAGGCAGCTTAAAATAACATAAAACAAGATTCAGCCAGAGAAATGTGTACTTAAAAGAAAAATAACATCATTTTTGAAAGTACAATTTAAGCGGGGGAAAGAGCAGAATAACTGCTTTCACCAGACTTTTCTGTGTTCATTGTTTCATGATGATTACCTGCACACTCCACACCGGCACCTTTCCTGTGGTCACAGGTGAGATTGAGGATGTTCTCTTGAGGGCATTTCTTCAACACCTCTTCTTTCCCTGTGCAGTTTACTTGATCCATCCAAATGGGACCAGATTCTTGGCCAAATCTCACTCCAGTGGTTGCTACTAGAGGTTCTCCACAGCCTACTTCCTGGCACACCACACGGGCATCCTCTAAATCCCAGCCATTGTCACACACTGCTCCCCAAGCCTTGTTGTGGAATACTTCCACTCGACCAGAGCATGGAGTTGGACCATCTACCAATCTTATCTCTGAATAAAGAAAGAACAGACTAGAATACAGGCAGTCCCCGAGTTACAGACATCAGACCTGCATACAACTCATAGTTAAGAACAGGGATGAGACAACAGGAGGTGACAGGAAATATCCCCCTGGGAAGGAAAATTCACTGCCAAGCTAATTTTTCAAAATCCAATTATCACAGGGACAGAAAGTAAGGCGAAATCTTCTGAACAGGGGCATAGACACAGCAAAACAAATATCACGGGGATATTAACCCTTCCTATGCTATCCAAAACATGGGGGGGGGGGGAAGAGATAACCTGGAGTTATACTTTAAAATGTACCTGTTTTGACTAACATACAAATTCAACTTAAGAAGAAAACCGTAGAATATGCCTTATCTCTAACCTGGGAATTGCCTGCACTCTCCTAAGCAGTTCATGTTAAAAGTAAGCCTTTATAAACATGAAATCAAAAATGGAACTGTATGATGTAGACATATATAATCAATACACGAGTTTAGTATTTACATTATTTTGTAGTTTCAGCATTCCAACTTTGGAAGTCACCAACAAGTGACATTCATGTCCTGGATGGTCATCTGCTAGGAGTGCTTTCATTGAGTGTTCCTGTATAACAGGGAATTAGATTGGATAGCCCTTGTTGTCTGTTCCAGCTCCAAGCTTCTATGAGTTTCATTTGTTTCTGAGGTCTATCTACACAGAGCATTTAGGTTAGTGTGTGTGTGGTTTAGCCTGCAAGTGGCTACACAGTGCACAAAGGCTGATCCAGTTTAATCTGGGGAAAGTCACTTCATCTTGCTGCAGAGGTGACTCTGGGGAATACCATTGCTTTAACTATGCGGATCTTGGTTGCCAGTGTGATGTCTCTACACTATTTTATCAAGATTGGTCCTTGCTCTCCTCCCAAGAAGTAAGCGTCTTCTGATTTCCTGGCTGCAATCTGCATCTGCAGTCATCTTTGCACCAGAAATACAAAGTCTGTCACTGCCTTCTGATTTCCTGGCCACAGTCTGCATCTGCAGTAATCTTTGCACCTAGAAATGGAAAGTCTGTCACGGCCTCCACATTTTCTCCCTCTATTTTCCAGTTGTCAATCATTCTTGTTGCCATAACCTTGGTTTTTTTGACGTTTAGCTGCAACCCAGCTTTTGTGCTTTCTTCTTTCACCTTGATTATATTATATTATTAGCATAGTACAGGAGACAAGGTGGAACTTTGTAAGTTGCTTTGATATTTTTAATTTAAGAAGCTCTGAATGTTGTTAGAATTTTGCTTTCAATACTTGACAAAGGAATCTTAAAAGCACTCTCAAATCTTGTCCCAAGCAATGGCAGTAGCACATTAGATTACAGGATAGATATAAATATTACATTAACAGGAATTGCAAGAGTGCACTAGCAGTGCTTCCTCTTATCCACTGTTCTGACACAATAGTAACTATGCCTCATATGTTTTTTTTAGTTCAAAAGTGAATGTCTGTAGATTCTGGATGACTAGAGTTCTTACGCAGAATGCAAGTTATCCACAGAAAATGATCAAAAATTATTCCAGGATCAAAGATGTACCTTTGCATAGAAATGCATTGGGCCATAGTAGCACAGCAGGGAATGTAACCAGTGTGGACCACTGTAGTCAAGTCAGACTTCCCAAGATACGGGCACAGCTGGCGCACAAGTTTTAATTTCTCAGAAGACTGACAGCCATTGGAGCTGACGTAACAGAGGCGTCATGTGCTCCATACACCGCTCCAGTGATCAATCTGTCTGCCACCCATTGGACCATTTGAAGCTTCCGAACATTCTTCAAAGGCAACTCCACGTAGAGCGCGTTGAGTCTATTCGGGATGTAACCAGAGCGTGGCCAAGTCTGACTTCCCAAGGTATGGGCACAGCTGGTGCACAAGTTTTAATTGTGCCAATGCTCCCCTGGCCACCTGGCCACTGAGCCCAAAGCCTGGGGTTCCAGGCTCAGTGATGAGTCCAGGAGAATTCCCAAGCTGCAAACCTGTGTCTTCAGGGGGAGTGTAACCCAGTCCAACACAGGCTGTAACACTATATCCTGTTCAGCCTTGTGACTGGATTCCATTTCAATTCCATTATATATTTTTGAAAAGTGTTCTTTCAAGTATATTGTAATCCATTTTGAATCCTATTATGGGATTCCTACTGTGCTGTGGAAAATGCATGGGTGTTTTCTGCAATAAAAGCATATTTCCTGAGCAAAATTGCTTTTTTAGTAGCTAAAATCCAACATATCTTCCTATGCATAATAATTCTTTGACTACTGCTCAGGGTATAAATATTTATATTAATTTCCATCAAGTTCATTTTGACTTATGGCAAGTCTTCAAGATGCAAAGACCTCACAAGATCAGCAGGAAAAACATGTTTTGTTTTTTCTTTTTGGCCTGTCTGGGTGTAATGAATGGAAAATATGCAAATTCACATCCCTAGTGATGACATATCACTGCTTCATAGGTTGTGATACTGTAGTATAGATATGAGGGGATGGAATGTGCATATGCAGGAGTGGGACCTTTACCTAAATCCATTAATAGTCTAGGGACGTTCAAAAGCTGGCAATATTATGAATCCTCCAAGTCTGTCAATATTGAACCCAACTAGTAGTTGGCCCTTTATATGTTTTATGAATCCCTAAGGCAACTCTGACTTATGAAGTCACTTTTCTTGGGTTTTTCATTTTACAAGATTTCTTTAGAGGAAATTTGCCTTGACTTTGATCTGAGTCTAAGAGCGTGTGCCTTATTCGAGGTCATCAAGTAAGTTTCCATGACTGAGTAGGAATTCAAGCAATGGTTTCCCAAAGTCCTAATCAGACATTCAAACCACTATATCATACTTGCCGTCCTGGATTTTACCCCCAAGTCTTTCTCTGTGAAAAAAAGGAGAACTTCAGCAACATCTGGAAGGGGACAAGTTTTCAATCTCGTGAATGTTGCCAACCCCAGTCACTGAAAGAAATGCAGCCTAGCCATGATTGATGAACTCACCTGAACACACAACACTAGCAGGTTCCCCATGATCAAAGTGATTCTTCTCCAAAAGATTTGCTGAGCATTGATAGAGGGAGGATTCTGTTCCGCTGCATTTGATTTCATCCAACCAAATGGGACTGGTTCCAATTCCATATTGTGTTCTGCTTTGATTCAGCCTTCCCATTCCACATCCCATCGCTTGACATACCACTGTAGCCTCCTCAACACCCCATTCATAACTGCAAATGGTGCCCCATGTACCATGACGGAGTAATTCTACCTTTCCATTGCAATCATTTGGGCCTTCCACTAGTCGGATCTTTATTTGCTGTCTGGGATCTGAGCCCCAGGGCTCTCCTAGGCAAGACAGATTACAGAGAGAGAGTAAACAGATTGAGTCTCCTATACTCCTCACTTAAGGAAAGCCTATGAAATTCATGGGTTTGCTATTAATCCACAGACGACTTGCTGACATACACACACACACACACACAAACTGAAGAACCGTGGGCAAAGGAGAAGGAGATCTGTCTTGCTGGTTCAGGCAAAAGGCTCCTCTAACTCAACCCATATTCCTTTCTTTAAATATTTGACAAGATTCCTGTGTCATAGAGGCTGTCTTGATAAAGTTTTAAAAGAAGAGATTTTATTCTATTTCAGCTCATACTTCTATAGCCATGTGAGCCTGCCTACATCAGGGAAGGTAAGCAAGCTGCCGTTTTCAGAATCTCTTCCTGAGTATGGAAGAACAGCAATAGAGAGGAAAGGCAAGAGGTAAGTCTGCTTCATCATTTCCCCCAAACAAGTGTAGAAAAAAAAGCATATATCTGGCCACCAAATGTGAAAGGCAAAGACCAGTGGAGGCTGAAAAAACACACCACCATTCCTAAACACGTTTTGGAAGAAGCTTTCAAGTGGTCTCTAAAAGCTTCAAAATGTTTTTTCTTATGCAATTTTCACTGATCTGAATGTTTCATTGGAGACATGCAGAATGTTTAGTCTTAACTAAAAAGTATGCTGAAACAGGCAGAACTACCCATCTTTCTTGTGGTGTAAGAACCAATCTCTTTGGGTCCATGTTATTTCTGCTTTAGGTATCAACTTTTCCATTGAAGAAGTCATGCCTAGGAACACATGTACTTCCTTGACTGATGTGTACTTATACTCAAGATCTAAACAGACAGACTTGCCTGCTTCTCACTCCAAAAACAGTAGTCACCAATTCAGTTACCAGTCCCTCCTCACTGGCATCACCTTTCCCTTGGAGGAGAAGTTCCCTGAAACAGTAGTAAATGAGCCCCTTCCCGTTTGCTAAGGGAAGGACCAGAGAAAAGGGCTCCACAGATTGAGGCCACCATCCAACACTCCAGGAGCATGAGTGCTGTACTGTTGGTGATCACTGGACTTTCCCAAATGTAAGGTAAGCAAAGGGAATCAACAAGTGGGAATCCTTTCTTCAAGGCTACTGTCAGTAACATAAAATAGGTTCAAAAAATAAGGTTTTAATGTTCAGAGCAGAGACTTGCCCACTTGGTTCTGTCAGGATGAGATAATTCTGTGTTATTTAGAAATGCATTGCATGTAACTCTAACCCCATTGTGTTAATGATACACTTCTAATGCAAATGTGGTCACAAGACACTCCACTGAAGAGTTATGGTAGAGACGTGGTCCTAGAGAGACAGCTGAGTTATTTCCTCCCTGGAGAGAGAAATGGGTGTGGCTTGTATGTCCACTTCCCCTTTGCCATGTGCTTGCTCTTTGCCATTTTTTGATACGTTGCCATGATCTCTCTGCATCTGTAACCTATCACCATCC